AAATTATCTTATGCCCATCTTACATAAGAGGCTTAAAGCTACAAAAAAGTAAAAATTAGGAGTGTGATGAATTAAAATGAGTTTAATCCTTAAAATACATAAAATATGCAAATTCCAGCCATAAACTACATAGTACGGAGTATGAGATTTGAATATTTGATTCAGAGATCAATACGAGGCTTGGTTATAGAAATATTTGAAAATATATTACTCCGTATAATTTTTTAGAAAAATTAATTATCCAAAACTTTAATTATTCAATATCATTATTAAGAGTTTAAGACCCATGTTTCATTTGAAGGAAAAATATTTTTGAATAGAATCTCTTTGAATATACGGAGTATGTGATAAGATATGCTACCTCATCTATTTATTGTTTCGAAATTTAGAGCCCGTTTGGTAATACTGAAATTGGCTGAATCGGCTGATTCTGTTGAAATTTATGAAGTTCTGGTTGAAGTTGCTAGATTAGTTGAATATGCTAATTTAAAAAAAATTAAGAAAAAATAATATTTAAAGTAGCTAAAATGGTTGTCTATAGTAACTTCAGCCAATACTACCAGAAAAGTAACACCAAACTTACGTTTTTTTATTATTACACAATTCATCAAGCGAAATCAAAAGTTACGCTTTGATGAAAAAGTTGGCTGATAAACATGATTACCAAACTGGCTCTTACTATTTTTTACAAGCAGCATACCAAGATTTCATGTGCTATAAAATTAGAACTACAATTGTAAGCACAACTATCATTCTCTTTTGCAACTACTTGTATAAGGCTTCCCACAACCCAGGGGTGAATAGGCTAATTTTGAGCTTTTCACCACAAAAATCAGTGCAACCCATTGTATTTGTTGGTGCCAAAGCGAGTGCATGGCACTCCGGGTGGGAATGGATAGTCATATTCACAACCATTTGCTGCACGCCGAAGGAAGAATAGACAAAGATGAAATGTAGTGTCCATGTAAAATTAAAATCCAATTTTTATTTAAAGTGTTATAACTTTTTCATTTGTACTTCAATTTTTATAAAAAAAATATATCAAAATTAATAACTTTTTATTATCTTTCATACGACATCAACATCGAATATAAAAAATTAAAAAATATATATTGAAATTTAATTGCTGAAGGTTTCCAAACTCGAATATTTTCTTAAATAGATCAAAATGCTAAAATTAAGATGTCATCATTAAAATATTATTTTTATGACTTTAAGTTATTTTCCCAAAAATGATTCTGAAATAACACAAAAAAATTAAATTTCAAATTTATTTATTTTTTCATCTAAATGTTTGACTTTTTTAGGTCTTTAATTATTATTCCCGAAAAAAAATGAAAAAATCGGCATTCAATTATAAAAGTAAGGTTTTAATATAAAAAAGTTTACTGGAAGAATATACTGACAATGTGGGATTGTAGTAAAAATTGAATTGACTGGGTGAATACGTATAAATTTAGGGAAAATTCGATTTATTGACGGATGTGGGTTGCGGTTAGCATGGTGTTATGAACGAATGAACGAAGAAGCATGGTTTTATGATTATGAGCCCATTTGGTGAGCGTCTTTTTTTATTTATCAGGTTTATCAAAAAGTAAGGTTGGAGTTACATTTCTGGATGTATTGGCTGAATTTACCATAGAAGGTCATTTTAGCTATTTTCATACAATTTTTTCTTTATTTTATTAATAAAATATATTTTAAACATAATTGTTTGATAAATCATCATAATTAGCCAATCCAGCCACTTCAACCGAAACTTCTTAAATTTCAGCAGAATCAGCCAATTTTGGTATTACCAAACGGGCTCTATATACTATCGATATATATTTCTAAGATGGAGCGGGGAGGGCCCATGTTGTAATTATATGGTAAAAAGCAGAAAAATAATATGCAAAGAATGATATTTTAGGCTTAATAGAACATCAAGATAATATTATCGGGACGAGTGAGACATATTTCTATGCCCATGCAAATTACTGTTTTCCTGTGCCATTCAAATTTACAAAAGAAAATTCTAATTCAAAACGAATATCTGGGTGACTACTAAAAGTTTCATCCACTGATTAGCAATCCGAGAATATAGTCTATTATATTCTTCAACATGGATTATAGATTAAAATACATGTACATCTTCCAAATAACAATATAGTACAATCTCGACTTTAACACAATGGATGGAATTCAACTAAAAATACATTCAACTTAAACTTATTTTTTCCCATGATGTAAAAGTTAGAGACCCTGGCCTTTCTCATTTTCTTATAAACGAAATGCAACTACATGTCTAAGAAATAACAAAATTGGACATTATTTAGTCGCGCAACGCGATATAAAAACTAGTATATCTATACATACATGAACTAACGTACATCCAACAAATCATAAATAAAATTATTAATAGTAATAAAAGAAATCATAACATCAATGTAGAATACCATCGGGCACCAAGTTATTAGGAGAAACGTAAGAGGATATTCACTTGGTTATAGATGCTATAAATTAGCTAATGACCCAACATTCATAATAAATAATATGTTAAATATAATTAATAATAATAGTAATAAGTAGTTTTGAAAATTTCCGTCCATGCAAAGCAATTTTAAAGACTGATAAATGATAAGGGATAAAAAGGTCTTTTACGTTTTGACAAAGTAAAATGAATATAAATTTATTCAATTGAAATACTCCTAATTTTCCAACAATCCCCCACATATTTCAAATGAATAATTTTAATTATTTAAAAATAATAATTCCTTACTGGTTCATATATGGGGTGAGGTTTTTCAATCTGGTGTCCGTAGACTTGAACCAGATCTAGACGGCTAAGTCTTTAAATACCGAGTTTATTGGTGAAACATATAGTTTCTATGAACCAATAATCTACTTTGGTAAGTCAGAGTCTTAGGGGGTCATTTTTCACCCCCCACCTTTCTCGTCGTTAACGCCATTGTGTGCCTCTAGGCCGTGCGCGTGCTTGATTTTCTTGAGTGCTCTAGAGGTGTTGTCAATGTTTCATGGAGACGGCCCACCTCACACTCATATAGATGACCTCATCAAGTGTGTCCCGCACTTAACACACCACCCGTAAGGGGTATGACAATCATTAAGAGCTTTAGCTCAACCTCACAAACAAATGCAGTCTAGCCTTCCACACCATAGAAATGGACATTTTACAAGGCTAGGGGAACAAATAGAAGACTTCTTATTACCCATTTGAACTTGCTTCATGGGATCTCCAATCACACGAGTTTGGTTCCCATCCCTATTTGTTGTCAAATTGACATTAGTCCATTTCCCTCGATGTTCAAATTTATCATTAACGTCCTAGGGATTCTATCAAAAGGAGTAGCTAATTCCTTTTAACTTCACAAAATTAATGGAATAATTTCATTCTCAAACATCATTGCACCACTTTTAAGAGTGAATGGATATCCATTATTTTATCTCATGTGAGTCGACTTAGGTGGCGTCGTTGTATCCCGGCAATACAACGGATAACTCTGAAAAAATGTAGCATCGATGTGACACTCTAGTACATCGGATAATTCTCAATATATAATATATAACATCATTGTACCATTATAGTACGTTGGATAATTCTCAAATATAGAACATCATTGTACTGCTCTAGTACAACAGATATTTCTCAATAAAACATAATACCTCCGTCCCACAAGGATTGGCCAATTTGACTTTTCTTGGTCAATGGTGTTAAAGTTTAGACAATGATTTTAGGTATTATATTTATGTGTAATTTATTAATTTTATACTTTTATGAAAGATTTTTTGATAAAGAATAAGCTCGTATAATTTTCATATTTCAAATAATTTTGTATTAAAAAATATCAATGGTCAAAGTTGATAACCATTGACCAAGAAAAGTCAAATTGGCCAACCTTTTTGGGACGAAGGGAGTATTATCGTTGTATCAACATGTTACCACGGATAAGTTCAACCAAATATACCATAATTAATGGTAACTCTCAAGTACCTCAATAACCTTTTTAAGGTATCATATCCAACTATCCCATTTGAATTTCATATATTGGCTCAATCTTCCGACCTTGTATTTACTGGTATTTTATTATTATATCGGCACTTGTATACCTCCAAGTTTAGCCCGATCATTACTGTCATGATTGCTACTATTTTGGCAGTAAATAATGTCATGTTACTCCTATTTCGGTAAGAAAAATGTAGAAGTTCTATTTTGAAATTTCATTATCTATTCACTCCTCTTTAGGCAATTTCCCATAACAATATTAAATTGTGATATTAAAATAATAAAAGGGATATTGCACACAAAACAGATTTTTTTAAAAGTGTATATATGTGCCTGCACATATATATATATATATATATATATATATATATATATATATATATATATATATATATATATTTTAAGGGTGTATTTGTCCCTTTTCCCAAAAATATATACTACGTATATATTATTTTAAGAAATAAAAAAACTCTCCAACAAACTTCACAATCTCACTGTGATTGCTTCCTTCTTTATTTGGGATATTATATTTACCCAGAATCTCTTTATCTGTATTGTCATACTACTTATAAATTACTGTATAAAGGATGGATATGTCGATGTATTTATAAAGTTTAACCTAGCATGAACACTCTAACCACAGTAGCTTCTCCATTTCAACAATTGTGCGTTTGATGGAGACTCCTAACCTGCCTTATGCGTGACCATTTATTTGAGAATAGGCCTAAATTGAAACCTCTAATTCTCTTGTACTAAATATATGTTTTGAAAATTGTACTTCCTCCGTTCCTTTTCAATTGCAACAGTCAACATTTCACGTTTGCCAACGCACAAGTTTGACCATAAATATCTTTCATTCCTTATTAGTAAAAAAAATAAAAAAATCATATTTTGAAAATTTAGAATAAGAAAAATTTAACAATATTTTTTAAAATTTAATTTATTATACATCAATTGATAAAATGTAGTCAAAGTAGAACATGTGAATAGTGCAAAAAGTCCAATGTTGCAACTAAAAGAGAACGGAGGTAGTATTATTCAGAGTATTTGTTGACAATAAATATGTAATTCTAGCTCAGCTCCTGGTAGGGCGGTGTGAAACAGTGAAACGATATATGCATGGTATAATAAAAAATCAAAGAGAGCATAACAAGTGAGAACTAAAAGAGAATAGATATGGAAGCCATCAAAACATATATAATGGGCTCATCAAAACATATACGGAGTATAACGGAGAAACATACGTGATATATAACACCATTTCAACAAACACATACTGTACGTAGGGTTTGGAGAAACATGGAACAACCATTTGAATTGCTATTATACACCAGAATACATAGATATAGATATTATTTATAAATATTAACTGCTTAAAAAGGATGGGATGGAATGGTAAAGATTAGGCCTTGAGCTGTGCAGGAGAGACGGTGAAGGGGCGAAACCCGTGGTCTAGACTGGCTTTCCACACTTTCTCAACGTTGAACATAGTGTTCCCACACTCGTGCACATTCCATTCCTCCAAGGCATGTACTATTCCTGCAACCCTCCATGCACTCATCACTCTCCTTGGTAACCAATTCTGTTGATGTAATTGCAAAAAAAATCGTTATCTGATCTATTTATATATATGTTGGCTAAAGTAATCGGTGTATGTTTTTGAAATATTAATTTATTGTATGATGTTTTATTAGTACACACTTGTAATTAAAAATTAATGATCGAATGATTTGGAAACATTGTAATCTATGAAAGTTGCTTAATGTAGTTGGTTTCTAACCTCACAAGAGTCCACATTCTCGAGGTGCTTAGGGGCAACCATTGCAGGTGTGCTTAGGTAAAGGCAATCTTTGCGTGATTTCTTTGGAGGGATCTGAGAGAAGGGGATAAACAATGTCCCTTTTGGCGCTTTCATTTGTTCTTCTTCTCTCACTCCATCTCCTACAAGCCAAGTCTGTACAGGACACATTAATTGAGGTCAAAATGGTGCATCTGAATAGCGTAAAGTCAAGCTGTTATACATTGGAGGTTATTTATGTACACACACATTGATATACAAGGCATATTATCAAAAATGGGTTGTTCAAATTTAAGTACCTTTGCTGAAAATGATTTTGTAAGGACAAGATTATTAGCTGCCTCGAGAGTTAGCTTGCCCTTAAGCCTCTTATACTCATCCTCACGCAATAGAGCGACCTGAAACGAGACAAACATAACTCATATATGATACAAGTATAACATTATCGGTTATCAGTTTCATGAATAGTAAGGTATATGATAAGTAATGGTACCTGGATTCCACGTTGGCATAATGCGAAGACAACAGAAAAGGCAACCTTAGACAAGTTTCCTCTAAGCACAACTTGAGTTGTTCCAGTAGGAACAGAGTTAAGGACAAGTGCAACTGCTAGGCTACTTCCATCCACAACCCTAACTTTCAACTGTGGGTGCTTTCTTATGAAGAGCTCTCCATTTCTATTCAACTCCTCCTCCTGCACGCAAGTTTCATCATCACACATCAAAATATAACTAATGTTTTTTTCACGCCATGCTTGAAGCCAATGTCTCTAAAATTATAATATAACACTGACTAAATTCTATCCAAGTTCAAAACCATATGTGATGCATAATTATGTGATATTCTTGTTTATAATCTCTATGAGGTAAGACTAGCATGTAGTGTAGTCACGATTGATTAAGACCTTGTCTACTATTTTTGTGGGCTAATGGTGACTTGCTAAGCGTCAATGCTCACGAGACTGTTATTCTCTTCTCATGTATAGGTTGCAAAAGCAATACGCAAGTCTAAGAGGTGGCAAGAGTGGTGCAAGGTAGTGATTGAGACGGGTTAACGGAAATGTCCTGGTGGCTGGCACTTCTTCAACTTTTACCTCCAGTCCTTGTATTATATCTATGGTTTTTTCGTTAAAAACTATTTTTAAAAGTCCTGTGCAGGCACACCTTAACTTATTTTAAATTTTACTATGATGGTTGTACTTTGTGGATTTGTGAGTTTAAATTGAGACTTCGATTATTCTGCCTTTTGTATCGAGTCCTTGTATTGAGTTGGTAATGTATTCTTCCCTAGAGCGAGGGTCGATCGTAACAACTTACAAGTTCGTATCATCCAAGTTCAAAATAAAGTGTCTATTTATGAGGGAAGAAATGTAAAGTGAGCTAACACGTTCTTACAACAAATTAAGCACCTCACACATTAGTTATATGTATGTGTAACTAATGTACTGTATAAAGTATAGGTAGCGAGGAATTGTATATGTGACTTGCCTGGTTCAATAGGCCAAGGGTTAAGACCTTGATCCCCTTGTCATTGGCTTCTAAAATGGCTTCCTCAATCAATTTGTTGATACTCTCTCTTTGCCATTGCATGAAATACTGGAAATGAAATAACCCTTACACTTGATAATAATTAATCAACTCCAACCAACTTAACAGAGATTAACTAATGAATGACTACTTACTTGAACACGATACTTAGGGAGAGCCCAAGTTTGCAACTTGAGATGCTTGAATAAATTTCTCTCAACAATGAAAGTGCGACCATATATCCAAGTGATCATGGTTGACCAAACGGTGATAGGCCACATTAGCCAGACGTACCACTTGGAGGAGAGAGGGTTGGAGGCCAAGGCTGCGAATCCAATGCGGAGATGGTAGATGGACTCTGGGGTCAGGAGGTGAGTTAGGTGCACCACGTCGGGCCTATCGCCCTGCCTTACAAGCGATTTCTCGTACAATGTGTCTGTCGATACGTCCATTGTGTTGTAGAAGTAGTCATACATTGGCATAAAGAGTGAGTAGTTTGTTCGGAATTGAGTGTGGTGTAGAGAGTGGTACCTGTTTCATCATCCACACTTAATTAGCTCATTACTTGGCCTACACAGCTATTCTTCAAAACAAAGCTCATTTTAAATACTACTAACAAACAAGGTGTGGTAGATAGAGAAGTGTATGTCCTATACTTACGAAGGGGTATACATCAAGTACTTGAGAGGGGGGAAGATGGAAAAAAGGCAGCTGGGTACAAGCTCAAAGTTGCAATGGCCCAAGTTGTTCATGAAGTCAATGTAGAGAACGTAGCCAGTAAATGACACTACGGACCCTATTCCACTTCCTACTGCTGACAACATCGGGATGGCAAACAGGACGAAATATGCTATGTGCTCCGCGAATGGATGAATCACCGCTGCACAAATTCACTATTATTATTAGTCCATTTTGATGGATGGTTTATCAACTAACCTCATCCTCATCAGTCCTCTTTTACTAAAGTGATGTTTGTCACGCATAAGTCTTTTAGCTTTTGTACTGTTCAAAAGTCTCTAAAAGTTTCTAGTTATATGTTTGTCATGACAATTTTTAAGAGCTTTTCAAAAATTAAAAGATCTTTTTTAGATGCTACAGGGAGTAGCATTTGAAAAAAGATCGTGACTTTTAGTATTAATTAGTTGTAACAGCTTGCATACCAAATCGAACTAAATCAAACAGTCAGCTTTTTATCAAACAGTTACCATCTTTTCTTTTTAAGGTCTTTTCAGTCACTAAAAGCTAACAGTTATTAAAAAGCTCACAAAAGTATCTTTTCAGTTAGTTGTGTAACATTAATTGTGCAATCTTTAGGTAATGTTAACCTTATAAGGTTAACATTATTTCTATCTGAATTGGGTGAAATGGTTGAATAAGATTTATTTTAGCTATCTTCATTTAAATTTTTCTTTATTTTGTTAATTAAATACTAGTATATTTTAATTTTTTTTCTACAATTTAGGCATTTGGGCGTTGTAGTCAAAATTTCACCAATTTAGACCTATTCAACGAATTCTAGTATTCCCAAAATTATTACTATTATTATTACTTCTATTTTAACACCGTCGTATCCCTCGCACAAGTTTTATTATTATTATTATTATTATTCCTAAAATTATACGCACTCGATCGGGGTATACTAACAAAAATGTAAAAGGTGGAGGTGGAATTAAATTAGGGTCGACTTATGGTCATGTCCAAGCTACAGATTTCCAATTAGGTGGGAGATAGAGAATTGAAGTGAGTAGTACTAAATTGTGTTGAAATTGTTTCCTCATTAAACAAACAAATGTGAAAATCGTAGCTCCACCGGTGGGTTAGGTGTGAAAAGGAACTAATTAATCCACACTCAATGCTTTTTAATTACATTAGTGGCAACATTGATCAAAACGGCTTCTCTCCAATGCTTTTTTTTCCATGCAAGTGAGGTGTCGTATCAAGTTTAATGACATTAGTCCTCTCACCAACCTAGGAAGCCCTCACAAATGCGGGCATCCTTTTTACGTGTAAGACAATAAATATAATTAATATTGAAGAAGATGTGATTATTATTATAATTCAATTTAATTCGCCTCCCACAAACATGTCAGGTGCTTGAATCGAAACTGTGACCATTAGTATGATAAAAGGTGGTCTGTGCATGTGTTTCTTCTTCAACAAATAAAGCATCATCCATTTTCATCCACCAAGGACGACACTTAATTTTGGTGGACCAATTTCACACTAACGGAAAAGAATCCATTAATTATTTAATTTTAGTAGGTACACATGCCAACCCTTAGTCGTTGCTCCTATACCCTTATTTTCGCCTTGTCACTATCAATCCTATAAGCTAATGATATTTTATCCGAAATAGGACTAAAAAGTTTGAAAATTCCAAAATAAGACTTCTATGTTTTTATTTCCAAAATAGGACTAATTACTGTCATATTTTGGCAGTACCAGACTTCAAACATGACAGTATTTTCCAAACTTGGCAGTAATTAGTCCTGTTTTGGGAATAAAAACATGACAGTCCTATTTTGGAATTTTCAAACTTTTTAGTCCTATTTCGGGAACTTTCCCTTTATCAAAACGGTCTATTTTATACGTAGTATTGTATTTTGAAATGTGTGATTATCAAAATAAATAAATTTATAATTACTTTCGTGGTTTTTTCATATACTGAAGTAATTTTTTTATATTTCTGTTTTGTACTCACCCTTTACCTTTTTTGTTTGTAACACTTTGTTTTTAGTTTGTATTTAAATAACTACAACGCTATGTAATACGTAGTTAATTTTACACGCACCTCACATTAAAATTAAAAAATCAAGAACCATAACTTGCATGGAAAATGGTGTATAATAATGTATATAGAGAAAGAGAATGAAAACATCTTTAATAAATAATGTTCTCTATTTTGCCAAAAAAAAATAATAATGTTCTCGATGTTCTATTGAGACTTTCTTATCTTTCCATTTATGTCCGTCCCACCGAGATTGCCTCATGTTAAATTTGATAAAATTTGTTTGGTTTTAAATGATTCTTATTTTATCAAATCAATATCAATCACGTAAATTCACTTTTATTATTTACCGTATTACCTAGGGGTGGGCACGGTTCGGGTCGGTTCGGGTAATCGATAAATTTTCAAGAACCGTCGGTTACATTTAGCGGGTAGGTTCGGTCCGGGTATACCAATTTTCAAAATAGGAACCGAACCTTGCCCGCCCCGTTTGAAACGGGTCGGTTCGGCCCGAGTCCTCGGTTCTTTTTTTTGTAAAAAAAAACGACTATGAAAGCATAATATAAAATTCTCAAATTTATTACATATTAATATTAATGTAACCATAATATAGTAATTATTCAAAATAAAAGAATAAGACAACATATTAAATTAGTTAACAAAATATCGAACCACAAATTTATAAATTAAACAACACACAATCAACTTAATTAAAATGGTAATCATCATTCATAAACCAATTAAAAAGATAGGACAACAAATTCATAGAAAAAAACTAGTTACTATACATATTTGTCTATGAAAACACTTTAAAGCTTGTAAAATTAAGACAATTAAATTAATATGTCACACATTGAGTAAGAGTCTTTGTTTACAAAAAATATTAAAGAAAGAAAGTTTGATGCATTTGGAATAGAAAATAGAGGAAAATAGTTTAAGAGTTTAATTATACGGACTTGGAAACTAGTTTTAATAGACTGAGAAGTTTCTTTAATTGGAAGTCTTTGTCTAAACACAAGAACATGAAGAGCTTTCGTGTATTGTTAGTATATTATATATTATATTATACTAGTACTAAATATTTAAGAGATTATTATAATAATATTTTAAAACGGTTCGGTCCGGGTACCCGTTTTTTCAAATTTTAAGACCCGTTCGGTTCCTAGATTTTTCAGGACCCGCCCCGCCCCGAACCGTTTGGATTTTCTAACATTAGGACCCGACCCTAATCCGCCCTGAACCTGTATTACCCGGGCCGACCCGCAATTCTAGTACCTGTTGCCCACTCCTAGTATTACCCTCTCATGTCCCAATGTCAGTGAGATAGAGGCATTAACTTACATGTAATGGGCTCGGTGACGATTGAGGAGTGATGGTGGGAGTGGTAGCGGGAGTAGAGGAAGTGGTGGTGCAACGCCCTGTGCAACCAATAGTAGAGAAATTCCACGGGGCCGATGTGAAGCAACGCCGTAATTATGATCCCATCCGTCCTCCAAATTGGCATATGTTTTGCCAATGGTATCGCATAGTACCCCACATAAAATAAAATTCCATTTAATATGATCTGATCATCCCTGCGTGTATGTAAACAACACCACAACATTAATCATGAACAAAAATGTGACAAAAATATTACTACTAAATAATTTAGGAGCATATTATATCTTAAATTTTACCGCAATATATCATCAGTTCCTTTAGGGAATATGATTGATTTAATTACCAGTTCCTTTCGCGGTCAACTTGTTCAAACTCGATGGTTTTGTCAACAATCCTGTTTTCACCTTTGGCCGTTCGGTAACGGGACAGCGAAATCCATAGTTGGTTATGGACCATCCTTAGCAGTAAAAAGGGAAAAATCAGTAGTTGGTTTGGATCCCTCTCGCTTGGGCTTTGTTTGATGAAATTGTATGTGCTGTAAACCACAAATGGAGCCAACACCACATACTGCATGTATTTTCAAACATATATGTCAGCCATCACATTGTTATAACTCTACCATCTAAACAAATTCAAACCCGGAGTATTTAATAACGCGCATACAACATCTGAAATATACACTCAAAAAGTTAAAATGTGAACTTAAATATGGGACAGAGGGAGCTTACTTGGCCCCATTTCTCTAAACAAGAGTAACTTAACTTTCTACTCTTAAATTTTTTGCCAACATATACGAAGTATTTTACAATAAAATTACTCATTTTGTGTTCAAGTCCAATGACTCTTGTAAAAAAATCAGTTACATTGGATTAACATAAGACTGATTTTGGCTATTTGGCACAATCAAACAACTATTTTATGTTTTTGATAAAAGGCTTCTTGATTTGAGTGTTTGCTATGAAGAAAAAGGCACTCTAGCTAGAAGCTTTTTCACAACTTTTTCATACAGTGTTATACTTTCAAAGCCTAATTAGCTTATTTATTAACTATCTTATTTTTGTACTTGGTTTTAACAATGAGATATTTGTTCTTGTAATATTCTTTTATGAACTCTTTTATTAATTTATTTTTAAAATACAAAACTTTAATATCTAAAAAAACTAAAATGGAACTGGAAATCGAACCGGATTAGAACCGGAACCGCCGGTTTTAGAATCTGTACTGTGCGGTTCCGGTTCCGAATCAGGGACAGGTCTAGATAGACAGCAGTTTTGCTTTTGTTGTGTGAAATCAAAGGCACCAAATGTTTTTATTCATTTAATAAACGTACGATGTGTTTATTGATCGGACCAAAGTGATGCCCGCAGCGGCCAAAATTTTGTAGGTTTAATCACATGTATGAAGTGTGAGACGCCGGCTAAAAAAGGGAAGAACATACATTTCGATTTCGTTCAGTATTACATACCTACCGTATACAACATGTGAGTGGATAGATCTGAAAGAGAAATTGATGGGGTGCGAATTGTTTCTTTCCTACAATTCCTTTCATTTTCAACTAAAACGCAAAAGACATCGAATAACACTCCGATCCCCCGGTATTGTCTCTTTCAGCACCATAATTATGTCACTCTCTTTTCTTATACTCATTTTTAAGTAGTGAATCACTCCATGAATCTGCGCTCTGTTAAAGGTAAATGTCTCGTACCGAATGTTACAAAATAACAAAATATTACGTATACAAGATTTTGGGTTATCACTTGTCTTATTAGGTTGAGTTGTGGCCGGATCACTTGTTTAGCACTCATGATTAGTATCAGTTTTAAGGATTTGTTTAGCTCATTTATACACCTTAATGTTGTCCAATACGATTATGGCTAGCTAAGGGAGCATTAAAGTAAATGTGTCACACCAAAATGGTAAAGACTATGAAATAATAAAACACTATATGGACGATCCCCTACTCCTTCTATTGGTTGATTGATAGAACTAGATTTAACGGTGTGGCTAAAATTCATGTACAAAATCTTTAGTTCTTATAAAAATGAGATTTTGGAGCAAAAATATGCTTCAATATAATCCCTCACTCTCCACAGCAGATTCATTAGATTTACCATTGTAAATTTCTGCTGAAACCTATTTACTGTGTAACTTGGTCCCAAAAAATTATACTGTATAAATGAATGCTACTACTACTCAAACCTTATCTTCAACAAACAAGAACTAACCTAGTTGTTTGTTTAATTTGTCAAAATATCGCAAACAAAATACACAAGCTAGCTAAAATATAAATACTTAAATAAAGTTTGGAAATGCATGGAAGGTTAATTAAGCTAGTGAAGACTAGCTATTTAGAATAAAAATAATAATAATAATACTACCTCCGTCCCATTTTATGTGTCTTAGTTTCACTTGGCACGGTTATTAATGAAGTGGTTGAAAAAGTAAAAGTTGTGGTTGAGGTTTGAGTATAATATAGTGAAATGGTGTAGCTAGGCCACATATTTCTTTCCAAAAAAGGAAAGGAGACACTTATTTTGAGACAACCTAAAAAGGAAAGTAGGACAGGTAAAATGGGACGGAGGGAGTAAGCTAGTGATTGATATATACCTTGAAGCTGCCAAGCTTTGCCCATGGCCACTCAGTGAGGAGTCCTGGCTTGGAAGCCATAGTCGTCGGGCTGGGCTGGCCTCTAGTGCAATGATGCAGGTAGCTAGCTTTAATTTGTGTTTCCAAAACAATACAACTCCTTAGTTAGTAATAATATCGGTAGTGGATCTCTATTAGAGCACAGCATTCCGGGCATGCATTTTATTTTTATTTATAGATGAAAATTGAACCTTCCGCTATAAATGCTGTTTCTGCGATCACAACTGTTTTCCGTCTTCACCGAGGTGTTCAAAACTAATTCGCCACTCACGTCACAACACGTCTCCATTCTGCTGGTGTAATCATAGGCGTGTTTGGTAGTTGTGGTGAGGACTTTAAAACATTGCCGGACACAAAATCAAATACCCTTTCTCCCTCAAAACTTTGTCCAGTTTCACTCGTACGAAAAATAATAAAATAAAAATTATGTGATTCAAATTTGTTTAGAGGAAAGAGGAAATATTAGGAACCCCAAATTTCCTGATTAAAAATAAAATTGACAAATTTTTTGAGACATCTAAAAACGAAAGATGAGAATATTATAAGGTTATGTAATGCAAATGTTAGAAAATCAATCAATGTGCATGTAAGATACACATACAATATTTGGTTAGTATTAGTATGTACTGCGTAATTTATTTTTAAATACTCAAGTAAACTAATTGCATTGCTTTTGTTTGTTGCTTTGTATTATGTGTTAATTCATTAAATCAGACTATTACAATTGAATTGAAGAAGTGTACAAATGGGACTTCAATATTTTTTGAAGATTAAAATTGCACTCACTTGACAGAATTAGCCTTATATTGAATTTCCAAGTCTATTTAATTATAATTAGAAATATAAAAATTAAAGAGCTTTCCTAAAAACCTAGTTACCGCGACGGCCACGGCCTCCGTCAATCTAGGCGTCGTTGTCGCCACACCGAGCACCACTGTACCACGCAATCGTTGCTGATTTTTTTGGTAGAAGGGGGCTTAAATTGTGGTTGAAATTCGTTTAGAGGGAAGAGGAAATAATAGGAACCCCAAATTTACTGATTAAAAAGAAAATTGACAAAGTTTTTTAGACATTTGAAAACGAAGAGCCCGTTTGGTGACTCTGTTTTTCACCTTATCAGGCTTAGCAGCAAACGTTTTAACCAAACACGAGACTTTTGATTTCACACGCTGAACTTTTGTAATAATAAGAAAAAGTAAGGTTGAGTTACTTTTTTTACTATATTGCCTAAAACTACGGTACATGATAATTTTAGCTATTTTTCATATAATTTTTTTTATTTTATTAATAAAATATATTTTGAAAATAATTTTTTCATAAATCAACAGAATCAGCCAATACAACCACTTCATTCAGAACTTCATAAATTTCAGCAGAATCAGCCGATTCAAACGATTTCAGTGTTACCAAACAGGCTTGAAATATGTAACGCAAATGATAGAAATTCAATCAATGTGCATGATAAATACAAATATAATGTTTGCTTAGTATTAATATGCATTTTTTAAAATTATTTGGGAAAACTAATTGCATTGCTTTAGTTTGTTGCTTTGTATCATGAGTAAATCCATTAAATAAGACTAAAACAATGGATTGTCCGGTCTCGGCGATTTTGTCGAGGTGTGGTTGGCTCTTGGACGTATCGATATCTAGGGAGGATCGAGAATATAAAGCACGGTGGTGAGTCGCTGTATTTTTTAGGGACGAAGCACGAGATAGTGAGCGAACATCAAGAACGAAGGATTGGATCTCCCGTTTGCTTGCTCCGAGTCGAAATGGAATCCATAGCTGACAGATATCGGCGGATGAGTGTGGCGGATGAGTGTGGCGGAGAAGGAGACAGAACTGGTTTGCGATGATGTCGAGGCCGGCGAGGAGGCTCGGGAGGTGGATCGACTGGCGTTTCCGGTAGTAGGGGCTTTGATCACTAACCGGAAGATCAACTTTTCAGCGTTCAAGGAGACGATGGCATCGCTGTGGAGGCCGGGCAGAGGGGTAGAAATCAAGGAGATCGAGGAAAAAAAGGTATATCTTTAACTTTAATCATCCCGTTGATATGAAGCGTGTAATTGATGGATGCCCTTGGCAATTTGAGAGGAATTTATTGATTGTGAAGGAAATCAAACCAATGGATATTCCTCATAAAATTTCTCTGAATGAAGCTGAATTCTGGGTTAGGGTTCATAATGTCCCTTACGTTTTGCTGAATCTAGGTACTGCTAGGAAAGTGGGTATCTTTCTTGGTAGTTTTGTTGACTATGATAAAAATAACTATGGGGAACAATGGAAGCCTTATATGAGGGTTAGAGCATGAGAAACTACCTAATTTTTGCTTTATTTGCGGTGTTATGGGGCATTCTGAAAAATTTTGCCCGCTTATGTATGAGGAAGGTCTGGTGCTTGAAAAAAAATTGATGCGTCTCTAAGGGTAGGGGGGGTGAAGACCAGCCCTACAGGAAAAAATAAATGGTTAATTGGGGAAGACTCGTCTTTGGGAAGGGTTCGGCAGGAATGGAAAGAGCAAGGGAAGGGCGGGAGAACACTGGGTAACGAAGTAGATTCTGTGGACTCGGGGAGTGCCTCCAACAAGGAAGTGGTTCTGAAACAGAATATATGAGAGTCTTCGGGAGAGAAACGCAGACGCATCTGGGAAATAGGGACAACTCAAAACCAGAATGGATATGAGATGGCTCTGGATGGAACAAAAAATGGAGAGGAGACGGGCTTAGAGGGGTAAGCTTGTCAAGGGAAGGTACGAGATAGGAAGGGACTAGGTGGTGGTGTGGTTTTCTTGTTCGGTTCTGTGGCAAATTTGTCTTATTTTGTTGTTTTCTTTATTATTCTGAACGCTCTTGTTTGTCTTGTTGGTGTTTTTACTGTTTCTTTGATTGTAAAACGATGGTTATGAGTTTGGGTGTAGGAGATGATTTAACTGTGTTTACTGTCATTGGCGCAGCTGTGCCCAATTTTGGATCAGCGAGTTATATTACTGAGGTAATTGACTCCGACTCTGGTTCGCGGAACGGCGGTTTTCTTACGTTATGTTGTCTGTTTACGTACTCTCCAAATGGTTTAATTTATATGTAAGTCGTTTTCATTAAAAAAACAGACTAAAACAATGAAAAAGTGTACAAATAGGACTTCAATATTTTTGTAGGATTAAAAATGCACTCACTTGACAAAATTAGCCTCATTGAATTTCGAAGTCTATTTAATATTGTATTAATAAGAAATATAAAAATGAAGAGCTCTCCGAGAACAGTAGTTTCCGCCACCCATTGCCTCCGTTACTCTACGCACTGTCGTCACCACACTGAGCACCAGCGTACCACGCGATCGCCGCCGAGTTGTAAATCCGAATTTGTCATCTTGCTACATAAAAATATACTCTGTAATAAGTTTATTCACAACATAAAATTGAAACAATTTTGCAATCTTTGACAAAAATGAACATAATATTAACACTATCTTTCATTAAACACACAATTTGTTGAAGAAAAAAAAAGAAGAATTTCTTTGTCATAATATAATTGTCACAACTGCCATAAAATTAGCAATACTTTCAAATCGATAGATTTGAAAATCAATGAACCATTTTTGTTATGTATTTTCTTTATTGAATGGCCCATAGATTGTGCTCCCAAATGTATATATAATTTGAGTAAGGGGTTTTGTAAATGTGAAATTTCTAGTAGATAAAAGATCAATGTGCACAGGCAATGCTATGCTCGAGTCCCTCCCCAAATTATACTAATTATATAATTCGTATGAAGTATATAATTAGTGATTACCTCATTTATATAAGAAATAATTTCATCAATATTAATTACTGCAGCAAAATTAATGGACAAAAGTATCACTACAACAACATTCAAGCCTTAATCATAAAAGAGTTTTGCATCAGTTATTAACATGAATCAAGGCCTGAAATCGGAGCCAATGTTAAAACATATTTTATCGTATTCAATTTTATTGTATTTATCTACGTATGTATTAGATTTAATATTTGGGTTTTTAATTAAGGGAAAATCAATTAATGTGGGCTATAATAATTGTATTTAGACATACCGCTAACCACATCTATAAATAGGGACGTAGTTAGGTAGCGGACGTAAAAAAGTGTTTAGTACGTTGAGTAGCTGCACATATTATTATCAATAAGCCCTATTGTGTAGCTTCTATGTATAATATTGTGTGCTGTAATTCATCGTCATTATCAAATATTCTAAAGAGGTTGTTGTTAATTTAAGTATATTGTTTGATTGTTGTCGAGATTTGTATTAACAGCTAAAAAGATAAGAAAGATAATAAAGATAAAAATATACGACAAAAATATAAAAAGATATAAGTGGACAAAAAAATCACGAAGTATTTTTTATTATTTAACTTTAAAAACAACTTTTTATTACATGACTAAAACGTCTTGCCCTTACTGATACGAAATAACCGTTAACAAGTTCGAAACCCACCTAAATTCCCTCTACACAATACCAAACCCACTGAAATTCTTTCTACACAATACCAAGTTGTCGTGTCGCCCAATAAACGCCCCCATAGTCATTACATTCCCACTTAGTTACCTCAGTAACACCCATGAGCAATTACCTGGTCACATTTGTGTCAATTACTACACATAAGTTTTTCTGTTTGAAAGGAAATCGCATATGTTAAAATAAAATGAAACCAGAAACGTACACCAGACTCATACTGATTAAACACACCCTCGCTAGACTCAAAACTCAAAATCCTCTCACTTTATAATGAGACATAGAAATTGTCGCCCTAGAAAGAGTATACAATTTCGCTAGCCATGTGTGAGCTTTGAAGACAGACACATCTTTTATAACCTCAATACTTACGAAACAACCAACTCCTCACCACCCCAAAACATTATTAAAAGCAATTCCAACCAATTCAACTAAAACTAAGTACTTACGAAACGACAAAACAACAACAAAATAAAGACCAACTCTTTTCCTAAACATCAATGTGCACTTCCAGCTCTGGCAATCACCAATCTCAACTCTCAATAGGTTTGGCGAGCCGACTCCACCCGGTTTGCTTCCATCCTGTTTTTTGGCTTGAATAGCTCGATACCCATGTTTGTGTTTCCTTCTACTACCTCTTCATCTTCCTCATCCTCTAAATTCTTCAAATTCTTCAGCGGCAGAATCCCAATTGCCACTAAAACCCCAATCATTTCATTAGAATCATCTCCCAAATACTCTACTTACAGCCCAAGGATCTAGTTTAAGACTGTCCTATGCACCTTGGGTCGGGCAACACCAACAAAAGTCACAAGTGACTCCAAACCGTTTGGCCACATTGTTACTTCTCACAAAAGTCGGATATGAATCCTAGGAAACGACACAGACATCCCCACCCTACAACCTAGTTTGAAAAATTAGTCACCAGAATCAACCACAATTTGAATGGCCAAAAATTGAGTCCCCTTGCATCGACGCCGGATCTCTTCAACCGCTGCCTCATCCGAGTGGCAAACATCAACCCAACCACCTTTATCGACTAGCCTTCTGTTAAAACCGAACATCCCAAACAATAACATATATATAACAATCGATGTCCCAGGAGCCCGTGTGATTGAGAAATCACCCGGTAGACCCCATCGAAGAAAGCACACTACCGTGCAAACCCCTAGACAAGCTAAGCACAGACCGCGATCACATGAGTTACTACAGATAAGTTACTCATCCACAATCACTATTATCCAACTCAATTTACTACTACTTCGGATTTTGGAACGTATTGTTTTGTTGATGACAAACAACTAAGTGTTACTTGTGTTGTATAAGTGATTGCAGGAAAAGAGTTTAAGTCGTGCTCTGGAACAAGTCGTAGATCCGGTCCTAGAATTGCCCTGCGAATCCAAGATTGATTAAGGTGGCTTACTTAAAATATCTTTTATCTCCATCCAATTTCGGTTTTGTCTTGCTAAATTAAAGAGAATATTTGTGTAAGGAAATAATTAATGTTTATGCAAAGAAATGATTTTTTCTTTAAAGGAAAGTTATTTAAATCAAAGGCATTAATTAAGAGATCTTTCTACAAAGAAAGTTTCCAAAATAAAAGGTGTTATTCAAAATTCAAATTGGATTTACGTGCATCTCCTCTCACAAGGAATGTTTCCTTAAGAAAAATATTTTCCTTCACACAAATAAAAAGAATATCTTTTAATACCTATAAGGAAATATTTTTTGAATAATTTCTAAGCAAGTGGACCTAAATATATATGGAGATCCGATCTATTAAGGAGAGTACATCAAGTCTTGATCTTATTGCACATTTAAGAAGACCGTGCTCAAAAGGAAAGAATCCATTCTCAAAAGAAAAGATGCAACAAAAAAGAATTTGACCAACAAGGAAACCTTTTTAAATGCAATAAAGTCTTGGTAGCTCCTAGATGTCCCTATATATGACCAAGCCCGTGCATAGAAAAGGGTGTGCTTAAACCGAGAAGAAAGTACTCAAATAAGGAGAGTTATACAAAGAAACCATAGAAGATCGAGTACCCGTGACAGTTCCATTATCAGTTCTATCCTTTGTAATTCAATTTCTTCTATTGTATTGGGGTTAAGAGGAACATTTGAGAATGCTTTCCTTCAAGGGTTGGGGTGTAAATTGAGAGCTTTGTTGTAAAGCTGAGAGACTCCTTACCCACAAAGTAAGGTAGTGAGAACTCTACCTAGAGAGGCTAGAGTTGGGGTGGTCAAGGGTAGACTAGAAGAGTTTATCTTCTTATTTGTTTATAGGCTTTTAGTGAAGAGTTTTCACATTCCTCTGAGGGAAGTAGAGGCTTTAATTTCTGTTTTCCCTTTGCCCCGCACTAGAACTCGGTGAAAACTGTCGTAGTTCTACGCACACACAACTCATCCCCCCTCCCCTTGTGTGATTCAACCGGTTCATGAATTGGTATTAGAGCCGGTCTTCACCACATATATAGAGGGTAAAACCTTGGGAAGAGATCTGAAAAAATGGACACAGTTGACCGTCTTGAAGAAGGTTACTCGACCCAACGACCTCCACTGTTCAATGGCAAGTTCTATCAGTTCTGGAAAAACCGAATGAAGAATTTTATCAAGGAAGACAACTATCATGTATGGAACGTTATTTAGGAAGGTGATAATGTTATCACAAAGGTCTCCAACGAATGTACTATTGTTCCTAATCCTAAGTCTGAATATACTTCTGATGATTATTTAAAACTCGAGCATAATGCCCAATCTTTTAAGTATTTGGTTTGTGGACTTGGTCCTATTGAACACAATCGAGTTCTATGATGCAAGTCTGCCAAACAAATATGGGATTTGCTCGAGGCTACTCATGAAGATACTTCCCGTGTAAAAAGATCCCAAATTGACATATTTATGCAGAACTATGAACTTTTCGTAATGAAGCCTAAAGAGTCAATTAAGGATATGATTACACGATTTACTAACATCATTAATGAGCTTTCAGTCTTGGGAAAAGAAATTTCAGTTGAAGACCAAGTGAGAAAAGATATGAGAAGCTTGCCATCTACATGGAAGCCAAAAACCACGGTAGAATAGGCCAAAGATCTATCAACCCTAACCCTAGAGGACTTGACGGGTTCACTCATGACATATGAGTTAGGATTACAAGAAGAACAAGATGCTGAAAATGTGAGAAAAGAAAGAGGCATTGCTCTTAAGGCATGAGAAGAAGAAGAGAACTCTGAGAGCGAATCTGAGGATGAAATGCGCATGTTTGCTAAGCAATTTGGAAAAGTTTAATGACGGTTCAAGAACAACAGAAACTAACAAGGTAAGAAAAGCTTTCAATCTTTTGATAATCAAGATTGCTTTGTTTGTGGATCATTTGAGCACATGGCAAAAGACTGTCCGTGAAAGAAAAATGACAGAACTCAGGATAGGAACAAGACGAGTTCTACCCCGGCGGTTCAACAATGATAAAAGCTTCAATAAAGATTTGAAAAAGGCAATGATGGCTATTTGGGGGCTCATGTGATGATGATGAGGACGAGAGTGACAAGTGCTCAAATCAAGTTGGATTAAGTCTTATGGCAAATTTTGACGAGGAATCCGACCAAGAGAACTTTGAGGTGAGTTTGGAAATCTTTCTTTCTAATTTTGATTCTCTATCAAGACCAAGGTTTGGAAAATTTTCAAAAGATTGACTATCGAGCTTAATCAAAATCTTTCTAAAAATGATCATCTTAAATCACAAATCATTGAACTTAATTCTAAACTTGAGGAAGCCACACGAGTATGAAGTTTAAGTACAATCGTGGGAGAGTTAAAAACAGGATGATATTTGCAATTTCGAGTATGCCCAAGCTAAGGCTTGAAACTTAAGTGGCTTAAGTTTCAAGCCTTATCATCTATTAAATCACTTAAGTTTAGACCAGCACGAGTATGCCCAAGCTAAGTCTACACTTAAGTCTACACTTCGATTGGGTCTTCTTTTCGGTGGCTGGTCAAACAGATGATATTTGCAAATTCTTCCAAGTAGCTGGTCAAACTGAGGATTCTAGTTGTTTCTTTCTGGTGGCATCTTTGGAGTTGGTAGATCAAACATCTTCTCCCTTGCTGGTGGCTAGTAAAATCAGAACTTGTGATTCTTTTGTTTCTTTCCAACTTTTGAACTCTAGTTTCATATACTTTTGCCTTAGTAGCAAGTACAATGATGCTGTTAGAATAGCCTACCATTGTGTGGAGTTAGCGATCTGACATGGCCTTTTAATCAGTTCTATGTCTCACTTCAGGATTACTTTTATTATTATTAATAAATGATTGTTTTTCTTTCGAAAACAAAAACCTGACCCTTGCCGCATATCAAAATGTCTACAACTTGCCACATTTCTAGGGGTGGGATCGGTGCGGTCCGGGTCGGGTTTTCGCTAAACCTGAAAATTACCCGGAAGGTCTCAGGTTATGAAAATTAAAGACCGGAACAAAGTCCATTATATTTGGTCCGAGTCGGGTTTTGGATAGACCGGGTTCGGTCCGGGTTCGGGTTGGACCGGTAAAAGCCCGAATGTGAAGTCATATCACTGTCTTTTTATATTTTAAAACCTATTTTTAAATCAAATTAATCAAAAACACAAACCGCAAATAATAAGACAAATATTAGTCTCCAAAATCACCAACAATTCAAATCCAAAGAAGATAATTATTTTAATATTTTGTTTATGATGCATATAAATAAATAATATAGGTTTACTAAAAACATTATGAAATAAAACTTATGGATAAAAAAGTGACTAGATTTACTATAAATATATTTCCATGGTCATTATGGTAAACAAATTGAACATATTTTTAGTCACTAAAATTTACTAGGTCATGTTTTCATCCACCATGATTATAATCATATATTAGGAATTATTTATATATTATATTTGCACATTAAATTGAGTTTTTTCCCGAAATAATGCTAATTAAATAAATAATTCCCAAAATACTGTTGGGTTAAAAATAATTCCCAATATACTGTTGGGTTAACCGTGGTTAAGAAAAGCCGCCACATGAAGTGGTGGCTCTTCTCTTACAGTACAAAAGCCGCCACTTCAAATGGCGGCTCTTCTCTTACAGCACATTTTGTACATATATAAAAACGCAGTATGTTTCAAGAATTTTTTTAACTATCTTCCCGATTGAATTTTGAGCAGAAATTTTGTATGAATAGACTAGACCTGATGAGGAACATGCTCAAAAACATTTCATCAAAAAAATCCACTGGGAAGACCCTGTGATGGTGTTGTCTGCACGGGTGTTCCGGTCAGGACGACGTCGTGACAGGAATAGGACATTTTTATGAAATTTGAGGTGCTTTCGAGTTGATTTTGTTGATGAGTATAATGATTTTCTAACACTAAATAAATGCCGGAACCGGGCCGGAACCGCTGTATAAATAAATACAGAGTACATTGTTTCGTGCTTTTATCGGTCTAGGTCGGGTTATAGATTTTAGGGCCTGCTTATGAGCCCGAATTTTTGGGTTCGGACCGGTTTTTTTTATTTGGGCTGGTTAAATAGAAAAAACTCGGACCGTAAATATCATTCGGGCCAGGCTAGGGTCTGTTTACGGGTTCAGTTTTTCTCACCCCTACACATTTCACCACAAAAACATAAGCATAGCTGAAGCGCTCGCCGCTGCCGCTAATTAGCGCGGAGACCGCCGACGAAACCACTACCGCGGCAAATGATTGCTGAGAAATCCACCAACGTCACTAATGAGAACTATCGAAGCCCCCATCAAGCTTTGCTACCTCTTTCTTTCAGACACCACCACCTAAGGTAATAACTCTTCCTTTTTTGTTAAATTTTAAACCTTTTTATCCTTATGTTGTGTTGAGCTTATGGCAGTGATGTTTATTTGAGGAATATGTTTCCTTATTCTGTATATACGGGGTTCGATACAGTTTTTTCTTTGAGTTTTGTATTTCATTGACCATAAGGTGCTTGGTAAAATGATACAATGAAATATTCATTAATGTTCAATAAAGTGATATAAACTACTTACATGATCACGTTTTCGAGTTGAAATGTATTTTTTCATGCTTAAAAGCTTATTTGATGGCTTAAACTAATGTTTCAAACTATACCATAAATACATCTTGTTCCATTCAAAACAAAAACTTGGTATAATTGATGCCCATACTATGGATCTAAAAGCTTATTGTGTGGCTTTCTTCTGTAAAACTTTGTAAAATTGTGAGCTACTAATTCTAATTTTGGACATGATAAAATTCATGTGCTCCATTATGACCACTTGATTATTGAGGCTATCAACTCCTAAACAGACAAGTGCTCTTCATTTAGTCATTTGAACTCATTTATACAGAGACTTGAATTATATATTTTTTCGTTTTTCTCCAATAACTTTAATAAATCTATAGTCATATACTCATATGTAATTGATTGCATGATTTTTAGGCGTTGTTCAAACCTGTGTTCATGATTTAGATAAGGGAAATTGCCCCTAAATAGGAGTAAACGAGGTTTGAAATTCCAAAATAGAACTACTATGTTTTCCTTCCAAAAATAGGAGTTCTTACTGCCATGTATGAAAAATACTGTCATGATTGAAAAATATTGTCATTACTTATAATAAATATTGTCATGTTAAATGCACTGTACTGCAACTATTTGGCACTCACGCCTATAAGATGGCAGTAAATACTGTCATGTTGGTCCCCTATTTCGGGATTAAAAACATAGTAGTTCTATTTTGGAATTCCAAACTCCATTTACTCATATTTTGGGAAATCTCCCTTTAAATAATTCTTTCAATATTAGGATTCAATATTCAGGGTAATAAACAAAACTCAAATGTATTTGTTTTAATTGCAAACACCATTTCTTTATTTTCTCATTTTTTCCACTCGTAGTTGAAAATCAGTGTTACCAGATCCAGAAAATAGTGTTATGACACTTACTTGCATATCTTATTAACTAGAGTATTTCATTGGGGGGAATGTATTTCTACTGCTGTTGGAATTGAAATAATTTAAATGAAGAGTTTTATACCAAGATGTATAATGCTTTGAATGTGGAATTTGAATAATTAAAAAATCATCTTATAAGTTTCAGAGGAAATATCTAATGTGTGTGTTCTGTTTGTTTGACAGCTTTTAACTGGTTTGCTCTTGTTTGGTGGCTTCTTTTTTCTACTCAAGACAAATACTAATACTAATAACTAAAAGAAACAGAGGCATATTCAGACAAAAAGGGAGGATGGAACATTTTCCAAGACCTTGGCATTTACTCAAAATACTCAATTAGACTGTATTTTTTCATTCATTTGAAATGTTTACATTTACCAATATCTTGTAATCGAATTTGTGCATATAAGAGGTGTTAAAATTATGATTGCACTTTTATACAAAAGCCAACAATGTAACCAATCTTTTTTTATTTAAATTTAACATCTAACATAGAAACTTATGTTATACTCCCTCCGTCCCCTTTTAAATGGGACGGGAGATGGTGGCACGGGTTTTAAGAAAAGTGAGTTTGTGTAGTTGATATTAATTTATAAAGTAAGAATAAAGTAAGAATGATTTTGAGCCACACAAAGTTTACCAAATAAGGTATGGGCCAATTAAATAGGGACATCCCAATATGGTAAAACGGGACATTTAAAAGGGGACGGAGGGAGTACTAAATAACATTCAATAGTTTTGCCCAAAATAAAAAATAGTGATATCTTCATTCATTCATTACATCTTTATTAGCGTTTTGAGTTAATATAGACAGTGTAGCTCAAAATATGCAATTTTAGATCCAATTAAAAAGGTTTACCTTTATCCGTGATATCTCTAGCCCATAATTCTTTCACTTATATTTAATTTTAACCATTCTTCCTTTTGTTTTTCTAACAGTTTTACAGTGCAATAATGTTAGCAAAGCATCAACAACAATTAATACACATATAAAGTTGTGTAATGAGACGAGAGCACAAATAACATGACTTAATTCTAACATCTAGAACTGCATAATAATTGAATTGAAGACAACGTTGTAACATTAATACAATGATTAAAAGACAGAAAAGTTATTCTATTTTTATTCAAAAAGTGCAGATACTTAATTAATAATGAAGTTCTCAGTGATTTCATCTATTCAATTAAATTATTGACACATTAAAATTTAAAAAGACCCAAAAACAATTATTTTCTTGAATACTGGACACACATAAAACATACCTTCATAGTAGTCAATTGATTATTTAAATGATTGACAATCTGATTTTTCCAATGAAATCATTCCCGCATGTGTAGTGCAACATAGCAGGCATCTTCAAAGTAAAAAAGAATAATTATGTATAAAGAAAAGTATAATCTTCAACGTCTCCATAGCAACTAAAATAATATTGTGAATTTGTGATAATGCTTATCTGTCCATACCGTCATAGAGAAACTGTTGATCTCAAGCTTTGCTTCGTTGGAACCGTTAGCCTCCTTGGTTGTATGCCTGCTAAAGCAGCAGGGAGTATACTATTTATAGCAGAAACTTGTTTGTGGTTTTATGATAGTGTGTTTGCACAGATTTATATGTATTTTTTGAAACTTTCAAAGACCACATATTTTGGCTGCTCGACACAGCAATATAAGCCTTGATAGCGTCTATGAACAGTTGTATATGTATTATTTTAAAGTGTATCAGCAGAATTTAATCATGAGCTCCCACTCCCCAAATTTACTATTTATGCACAGCTTTGTCTTTTTTGAGAAGTTCAGCAGCCTCCTAATGATTATGTGTGATTTTTTTGTTATTTTTCTGCCTATTCATTCTTCCTCTCACGTGCAAGGCACACTTTTCCCGCCCAAACTTCTCTTGATTATTTCAATTTTGTATAGTTATAGACATGACAGTGCTATACGACAAAAAGATCTTCACTTTTAGGAAAGGGGGAAAAGGCCGTTTATTCTTGTCTTCTAGAGAAAACAATAGTTAGTGGACTGGCTATGGAACTATTGCGGCCTGGTTCGGAAGGAGGGGCAGAAGCAGTACTAAAGCTTCAACCAAACACATCCTTATCTGTTGCCTACCATCCTCTTTTTGGACCCCATGATGATCTAATGCTTCTTGAGCTTGATGAGAAACTCCTCCCTGAATTCCTTCACCAAAGGTATGTAATGTCATTCCTCTTGCCAATGTTGCAATAGAAAACGCTGGGAACTCAGATATTCAGCTCACTGGCTCTGGCAGGCTCCACAGCCTAAGTGGGGCATGATTGGAGTTTGGTGGTTACTAACTCACTATAAGTGAATGTTGGTGGTTCAAACTCAATAAATAAATGTTTGATATTTTTACGAACACTTCATATAAGCTTGTATGCATGTATGTGTGTTTGTATTCACTTCAAAGATAAAGAAGTCCAATTGTATGTAAAAAGTGTATCGGATTTTGCTTTCCCATGTTTCTTATTCTCCACTAAAACTAAATACTAACTAAAGATCAAGAAAAGTTGTTTCCCTTAGGTCCATAGTTTTTCTTTTCTTTTCCGCATTCTAAACAGTGTTTTGGTTTCTTGGTTCCACTCTCCAGTGTGACTTTGAGAGGGCAACCAAATGAAGATGCAGTTCTATGCACCCAGTCAAAAACCTATGCCCTAAAATTCGTAGGGACGTCAAACTCAGTGTTTCTTATTCCTCCATCCGACCAGTCAATCATAGAAGATGCTTCTCTTGTGTTGCACAGTAAAGACCAGATGGCTGTTTCTTCTGTCCTCAAAGTCGCCCCTGGCTGTATGGAACTGGTTGAGGTTTCTCCCAGATTAGATAAGCTCAAAGCACTTCTCTCCCAAAATCCTTATGGTTTTGGTGATGATAGGGCTTCAGATATGACAGATCGGAGTGGATTTCTATATAAATGGGATGATCTGGTGGAAAGTATTCAAGCCAGTGACGGTGAGCTAGCAGCCGGCTTACAAGCTTTGCCCGCAGTAGAGATTAATGGATACTGGAAAATTTTAGATGAGCAATATATGGATGGAGTTCTTAACATGCTTCTGCATAATTCAGTCATCAAGAACTGGTCTTTGAACATGTTGGATGAAGATGAAGTTCTTCAAGTGTTGGAAGGAGATGGATTTCCTAAGAAAATTGCAATGCACTGTTTGGAGGTCCATGGTAGTAGAGATGATGAAGGCTTGGTTTGGAGGATGGATGAGAAGAGGATTTGTGTGCACTTTGCGAGAGGGATATTGAGAGGAGGGAAGAAGATGAAGATGGAAGGTTTCATGGAGCAATGGAGATTGAAGATTCCAGATGGGATGGATGTGAATTTTGAGATGCTGGAAGGGGAAGTGTTAACTGAGAAAATGGGGATAGAGACTTGGGTATATGCTTTTAGTGTGTCTTCATTGTCTTCCGTTCCTGCTGAAAGGTTTTTGATGCTTTTCCAAGAAAGAGCAAGATGGGAATGGAAGGATATGCAGCCATATGTTAGGTGTGTTCTTCTCCATCTTGTGTTTCTTTATGATTCCACAGCAGTGTGACTTTAGTAAAAAAAAAAGCACTAGGCAGGCTTAGGCTACATTTTTCTTTAGTGAAACAAGCTGATAAGCTGGCTTATAAACCAGATATTGGATTTCAAGTTTAGTACAAAGCAACTTATAATTAACTGATTTCATAGTGATGGTGAATATTAGTTGATAAGCTAGCTGCTTACAAATGCCAAATCACATAAACGAATATCTTTAAAGACGAATATCACATCTAGCTTATCTGTAAAGGTACTAGATGAGGCTTATGAAATCAGCAAGTTTGTCCAATCAGAACAATTTATTTGAAAAGCTTCGATGACAAAAAGTAATAGCTAACTTATAAGGTAATGGTGGCCAAATAAAGCATAGTGTTCGGTGAACGTTAGTTTTAAAATACTAGGGGCATGACGAGAGTATGAGGCATACAAGTTATGCTTTAAAATACAAAAAAGTGACATAATGGACTCATGTTATAAAATTATTTTGATGTGAAAAACAGATGTTAAAGTAGGATCGTGTAGCTTGTTTGAATATCTTTTCCTTTTAGTAAAGCCAATAATCACTGCTTAACTAGTGAGCTAAGCTTGTGGTGTGCTGAAAATAGCCATAAGAGATAAAGAAGCTTCTTCATGCCATGAATAGTGTGCTGCTGTTTGTTTTGCAGGGACCTAAAAGTGCCTGGGATGTCTTTGGAGGGATTACTTCTGAAGTACACCCGAAGAACCCAACCAACAGCGGATGCAGAACCCATATTCAGCGCAAGATAGATATCATGTCTATATGTGGAATTATTGTTGTAAAATCTTATATCGGTTAAATGGTCAAAGTAGAGGCTCTCATACCCTTCCTGAACTCTCAATGTAGCAATTTAATGTAAAAATAAAAACCCATAAAATGTAATCAAATCAATCAACGCCGAGAAGAGTCATCTTATAGATTCAATCTCTTTGAAGTTTGAATGGCCGCTCCAACACACTTCTCAGTTCTCATACAAGAATAATTTCCCTTTCACCCGTTCTCAGTTCTCATACCCGTGCATACGCATGGGAAATAGTACTTGGTACATATATTTTTAGTCATGATGTAATAAAATATTAAAATAAAATAATTGTTTTTTATTTTACATTTTAGAAAGAAAAAAAAAAGAGTACAATAAGCTAATATCATAAAGTGTAAGTCATACAATAAATATTTAATAAAGAGTATATTAGCAAAAATTAATTGGCACCACTCGTTAGAGTTTGCTGCATATTAATTTTCATAATAAAATTAATTTATACTATGTAATTAAATACAATTCTGAAAAATTAAGTGCAATAAGTGAATGACATAAAGTTTAGGTGAATATAATTAATATTAAAATTAATGAAAATTATTAGTCAAGTATGAACTTGCTAATCATTAGTTAAATTAGTGAACATATGAGAGACAACTACATATGAGGAAGAAAATTATCTTGCTCAATTGCTAGCAAGATTATATTGTAATACCTAAAAACACTACATATAAGAGACAGACTTATTCCGATCAATAACCTTGTTCAATTATTAGCAAGCTTATTTTCTAATACCCCAAAACACTAAATGTGACAGAGAAATTTCTCCCGCTCAATTATTAGCGAGCTTTCTTATGTCTAAAACCATTACATATGAAAGGGTAAATTTTTCCACTCAATTCTTAGCAAACTTATCTTCTAATAACTAAAAGCACTACATATGAGAAAGAAAATTATACCGCTTAATCTTCTAATAACATATGCACTACATATGTTAGCAAATTTATCTTCTAATACCTAAAAGCACTACATATGGTAGAGAAGTTTCTCCCGATCAAATATTAGCAAGCTTATCTTCGTATTCCTAAAACCAATACATATGAGAGATACATTCTTGATCGAATTTTGAGCTGAAATTTGGTATGGACAAACTAGACTTGATGAGGAACATGCTCAAAAAAATTCATCAAAAAATTCCACCAGGAAGTGCCCAAGCCCCCAAATGGCCATGTTCGGACACTGTCCGGACCGGGGGCTGCTGGACATGATCATTTCTCTCTCTATATATAAATAGACTTGTCGTGAGATATGAAAAACCGCACCACATTTTCTCTAATCCCAAATAGAGATAGAATTCCTAAATATAAATATAAAATAAAGTACAAGTTCAAAGTATAAAATACGTAGTATAAATTTGCCCAAATAAAAAAGAAAAAATATAAACATTTAAAAAAGCGTGAACTGAAAGTGTTTAAATTTTAGTGTAAATTCATAAGTTTAAATATAAATTAAAAGATAATTTATATCAAACTTTTATGCATTATACTAGGATGGGCCCGGATAATTCAAGGCTTAGGGGAAGATAACCCTAAGAGGCCGAATTTTAATTTTTTTCGAATCTAATGCATAAAAATAATACTTCAAAAATTGTAACAATAAAAAAAGAATTATAATTCACCGTATCAAACAAGTAAAATCACAGTAAGAGAACATTTTTATTACACCTTTAAATTAATTAAATTTATAATTTAAATGAAGATCCAAGTTTTTAGTTTTTACTGAAGAAATTTTAAAACTATTACAAAATCACAATTTATTACATAACAAATTTGAACTAAAAAATACTAGTAGTACGTAATATGTTATTTTAATACTCCATGTCCCAAACTAATACGTACTACGTAGTACTTAATACTCCATGTCCCAAACTAATACGTACTACGTGATACTTAATACTCCATACGTCCAAAAATAATACGTGGTACTTCAATAAGTCACTTTATCAACTTATTTAACATTTCAAAATTTTATTATATTCTAATTTGAATTCTGCGAGTCTGCGACTTCATAAAACTTTCAAGTCTAATTTAATGTGTCAAAAAGTTATTACTCCGTATATTCTAATTTTATTTTATATATTACAAATTTTAATATATTGCAAGATCAAGTCATATATGGTGTGTTAAAAGTGAGACATGGAGTGGAGCGTGAGTTTACAGGAGAGAAAAAACGAAAAAGAAAAGAAAATGGCATTAAAGAACGTTGCACCACTTGCACAGGCCCAGCTGCTGGTATACGGGGTGATGCCATCCCTGTGTAAAAAAACTCATTTTGTTTTGAAGTCTAATTACGTTTTTATTTTGTTTTGAAGTCTAATTACGTTTTTATTTATGGGGTAATTTGAGTTTGCACCTCACTTTATTGTGAAAATTGGACTATGCACTCCGTTTTTAAAAAACTTTATTTTTGTACCCCAACTCCATATGAAAAGACAAAAATGTCCCTACATTAACAATTTTGTTGGCCTTCAACATATTATTGATCGACCGCATTTTTGTCTTTTCATATGGGGTTGGAGTGCAAAAACAAAGATTTTTAAAAACGGGGTGCAAAATCTAATTTGGACAATAAAATGGGGTAAAAACTCAAATTACCTCTTTATTTATACTCCAAATTTTTCAAAAAAAAATATATTTAAATTCATAAACTCATATGAAATATGATCTTTTATATGACATCAATATTACATATATATTGAAAATGTCTGAGGCTTTTATTGATTGATTTTTTTGGAATCATAAAACACGAAACATAAATTTTTAATTCATGATGCCTCTCTAAGTATCCAAACTTTACATGAACTCATTTTATTTTATTTTTAAACTGAAATAAGCAAAACAAAAAATGATTTTTTATTTTTTTAATATCGAAATGTTTATTTCTTTATCGGGGTTTTGCCATGAATATTACTAAAGAATTGGGAATGGACAAAAAAGTGAACTTTCTTTTAAATGTCCAAAAATATTGACTAGAAATAGATAAAGAGACTATTCCACCCTTAGTGACCTGCCACAGTGACCAATCTTAGTGACTTTTGATCAGTGACCAATTGACATAGTGACTTTCGTCCAGTGACTAAATAATACAGTTACTAAAAACATAGTTACATGTCCGTTTACCGATCTAGTGACCTACGTCCAACAATTTAGTGACTTATTTACCAACGTTTGTCCGTTCAATTAAAGTCATTCGATCCGTCAATTACAATTACCCGATTCTTTAATTACAGTTACACAATCCGTTACAGTTACCCGGTTCACAAGTTACACTTACCTGACCCACAAGTTATAGTTACCTAATTTTGATCAACTAAAATTATGCAACCCAATCAATTACCATTACTGGTCCGACCATAACGGCATAACCTGGCCACCACCGGCGACCATCACCCCGGCACCAGCGACCACTAACTACAGCCATTGCCTGCAACCACCACCTACGGCCACCGCAGGCGACCACCACCTCTGACCACCAGACCCCAGCCCCTCTCATGCGTCACCCTACCCATCACAGCAGCCCCCAACCACCACCCCTTACCCTTGCACAATCGCATCGCACTACACCCCGCCCCTAGCCGCCTCACCATCACACACCGATACTCCCACACAACCACTATCCCGTCGCCAGGCCACTTCCGCCTCCGCTCGTCACCATTAGCCTCCATCGCCGCCACATACGGTAACCCTAGCCATCAGTGTACAACCATAGATCTATTAACCGTAGATCTATTGAGGATGGTGGATCCAGCAACAACGGCAACCATCGAGGAAGTCTGAAGTAGAGACGGCGGCCATTGAAGAAGACTGAATATGGGGTGCAAAGTCTAATATGGCCTAAAACATGGGGTGCAAAGTCAAATTCCCCCAAAAATCAACTCTAGATTAAGGCATCAAACAATTTTTACGTTTCCTATTTTGAAGAGAGAAAACTAAAAACAAAATTATAAACAGGTAATATTTAATTTTTATCCTTTGTTGAAAGTTCAAACTTAATACAAGTACAATTATTATTAGAAGCGTATTACGAAATGTAGACTAAGAAAATGAGAAAAAACTCCTAAACTACTCTACTTTTAGTCTTTTAATGCAGCGATGACAAATAAAGTTTGCATGAAGGGCAAAGGATGTACGATAATATTTTTACAGCATTTGAGGATTTAAACAACACCATGTCAGGTTGGTTACTTTCTAAAAGAGTAAAGGGTCAGTTTGGTCCCCGAAGTTGCAAAAAAGGCGTCAAATAAGTCCTTGTATAGAAGATTCTGTGCGGACGTGTCATTTGAGGTGGCTCTCGGTGGAATTTTGTGATAATTTTTTTTGAGAATCTTATTCATTAAGTCTAGTTTACTCATACCAAATTTCAGCTAAAAATTCAATCGGGAAGACATTCAAATGAATTCTTGAAGATAATAGCGCTTTTAACGGCACAGTTATTTTCAAGAATTCATTTGAATGTCTTCCCGATTGAATTTGTATCTGAAATTTGGTATGAGTAAACTAGACTTAATGTTTAAGATGATCAAAAAATTTCATCAAAAAATTCTTCCGGGAGCCACCTCAAATGGCACGTCCGGACAGAATCTTCTATATAAGGACTTATTTGACCCCTTTTTTGCAACTTCGAGGACCAAACTGACTCTTATCCCCTTTCTAAAAGGAGATCAGTGCAAAATATTTAAACAAGTATCAAAAGGTCATGCACAGACCTTACCGCCATCCAATAGTAATCAAAACGTTAAAATGCAATAATTTCTCTAGTCCAAGCGTCAGCTCTTTAGTCAAAAAGTAAAAACAAAACAAAAAACAAAAAAGACACCAAAATATGAGAAACCATGACTCAGTGCGCATATTGCATATTACTTTATTGCGCATGTCAGAATAAAAACGGAAAAATGATCACCATGGGGAAGTTCGATTTTGAAAGAACTTTAAGAGTGAAGGAATATAGTAGAGGTAACTTAAATCAGTCAGGAAAAAAAATCTACGCCTGCTTAATATTATCAGTCAAAAGAAATAACCTCCTCAGAAACATCGAGCAACTCCTCGACCTCGACTTCTTTAGCCTCATATTCCTCCTCCTCATCACTTGCCTCCCCATCACGAAGCCTTTCCCTCTCTAACCTCTCCTCTTCATGCAATCTCTTCCACTCACTGATCCATGTCTCCCATTCTTCCTTCAACTTCTTTCTCTTCTGACGGTCTTGTTCACTTAGTTGCAGTGAAACATCCTGATCTTCAGCCTCATACTTCTTGCTGTACTTTTTGAGATTCTTCGCAATCTCCTCCTCTTTTTCTCGGGTCAAGAAGGAAGGTGGTCTTGGACGCCACAAGAACTGCAGCAACACATCCAATTAGACAATTAGTCAATGCAAAGTGAGGCATACAGGTAGAAATGCAAATGTGACACCTCTTATGGTAAGAAAGGAACACATTTACCTATTCTGGGGAAGAAGGGGAAAAGGAATGAAATATGAAAATCCATTATTCACAAAAAATATTCACTCCTTAACTTTGAGAAAATGTTTGTTATGAAAGTGAAAATCTTTTGGTTAATTCCTTTAATTTCTTGTTTTAATTTAATCCAAACACAAGAGCTGACAATAAGAAATGAAAAAGATATTATTTGTCCCTACATATTTTCTTCTACTCTAATTGACAATTCCAAGATGAAGTCTATACAGAATACATAGCAGGATCCAAGCTTACTTGGAAGAAATGATCTTTCAGAACCCGATACAATAGCTTCCCATGAAAAGACCATACATTGAAACCATTCTCCATCTCATGAACAGAGGTGACAGATGTAGCAACATATCTGCCAATGAGTAGAGTTGGATAATACAGTTAGATCAGACTACGATATTAAGTGGTATTTCTTTTTTCTAGTAATTGCTAGAACTTTTTTATACACCCAAGTAAGTGAAGTTATACTCCGTATAATGGTCATTAACACCTGATTTTGTATCTAGACTATAAACTGGTACTCAACTTGCATTAAGGACAAACTTATGCCACTTTAAATTTTGAACAAAAACAAGTGAAGAAATAATTAGGTTCAAACTCGGTAGTGGATAAGCATAATGAGCCCCAAAGCAAATCAATGAGAAAGTTGAGTAATAGTGCTCTGGGATGGACTAAATCGGGTATTAACTCTTAATATAAACCCAGAGAGATGACACTTTTGCTCATATCCACAGTTCTTTTATTAAAAGTTACCTTCCAGTAGGATCCCATTCGATATCTGTTGCCATGAAATGCTCCATGGTAGCCATGGTCTCGAGCTCATCAGCATCAAAGAACTCTAATTGCCCATTGAAACCCCTCAAGCCAGCCAATATAATAAACCGGCCTGTGGGTGACCAAAATAGAGCATTTGCTTGCTTACCCTTGAGTGTGGCAAGTTTTGAAACTCTTCCTGTGTTAGTACCACTCCTCATAGAGTAGAAACTGATATCTGGCTTAGGGTTGTCACCGTGGATAACAGCAAACCTGTGCCCCTTGGGCTCCCAAGCAAAAGCAATAATCTTATCGTTCTTGTTCTCAAGCTCCGAAACCTCAATGGGAATATCTCTTTCCTTGATTCTGAACAGCTCAAAACCCGTATATGTGCTCTTTTTTGTTTTAGTGTACCGGTCAACTTTAACAGCAAGGTACTCCCCATTGCTTTGCCAATACATTTTGCAGTCACTGACACTGAAAAGGTTCTTCTGCCTCAATTCCTGCTTGCTTGGAATTTGCACAAGACTCACCTATCAAAAAAAACAAATTTAGGGCTTGTGTTTGTTAAAGGTCATTTGGCTTAAATTTATGCTTAGTCTACTCATGAGCAAGTCAACAAGTACTTTCTTCTTATACTAGTAAATATTAACAAGTATAATAAGCAAAATAGGTCAAATAGAGCATTAGTTTGGAATATAATAAAGTCTAACAGTGATAAAGAAAAGGTAAAGAAACAATGTACCCTTGCTGGCTGATTTCCTCCTCCAAGTTCAGGAACAAAAAGGGCAATAATAGGATCAGTTGGAGACCAACTGAAGTCAACAACATTATCTACTTTTATAGACTTTTTGTCTATAAGACTGAAAGTTTCAGTTTCGTATACAGAGATGACATTTTTTCCTAGTCTGGCAAAATACTTGTCTTCTTTGCCACTACTCCATCTGCAATTGTTTATTGAAACTGAAGTGATAACTCCCCAAGATAGATAAATCATTCACTTCTTAAATCCTTACCGAACATGAATTCCCGAATCATTTTCTTAATAATACACAAATATTTATCCAGTCACACCTGAAAATTGGCCAAGAAACACCTGCAACGCCGCCAGTCCCAATTGCGAACTCATCAGCACTGCCTTTAAAGTCTCTCCGAACTTTCCCACTTTTCACATGAAAAATGTTCAACATGACTTTCTGTAAAAATAAATAGATTGCAAAAGATAAGCCATACACTTGAATTAACAATACGGTCAAAAAGTTGTTATATATTCATATTAAGTAAAGACCGGATCAAAACTTACATGAGAGTCACGAGGATTACTTGGCTCATGGCTGCTGTAAGTCACCAAGTAGTTCTCACCAGGGGAGAAATCAATCAGTTTCACCTACAATTACAAACAGCATATCTGGCTGATTATGATATACTTAGTATATGATAAACCCATTTTTTCTTTTCATACTTATTAACAAATAATAATAAGATTAAATCAATAACTGTTGAAAAACCTGTTCATGATAAAAACGCATCAGGCGAGGTTCAAAGCTTGTGGCACCTCCCCAGATGGCAGCACCTAGTCTATGAACTGTGGCCAGATAAGTGCCCAGAGGAGACCATTGAACAAAACTCTCAGTCCAAAACTGCATGGTAATACAAAACAATAATGATTTATTTGAAATTTCAGACAAAACAAAGAAACCCAATTTCAGACCAATTTACAAACAGACCGGACGCTTGTAAACAGATTCTGGCTTTAACTGTCTAGCATCATTCCAAAAAACTTCTGTGTCTGACCCAGCACGAATTACAAACTGGTCTCTCGCTTTCTCGTCAGTTAGCCAGTTTTGCAGGTTCTCCTGCACATTATACAAGCCACCACAATGAGATGAACAATCAAATGAACAAGATCATATGGTACTCCCAAACAGAGAGAAGATTATGATACTTACCCCAGGGGTATATACTTTTGTATCAGGTGGTGCCCATTCATCTGGAACTTTCATGAATTTATCAATGTCATCAAACATGTTAACCACAAATATATGGGACCTGTCTAGTCTGTATCCTTGTGTTTTTTCCTTGGCAAGCTCAGCTTCCTGAAGCATCAACAAAATTCATGTCAGCATATAATGGAAATCATAAGGATCCCTGAGAGTTCTGTTGCTGAACAGTGTCAAATCTGCAAAACAGAATGATGCTATCAGTATATTAAATTAGAACTACTGCCTATCTTTTATATGGGTGCAGGGGGAGATAGATGAACGTACTTGAAACATTGGAATTTAAAAAATTACTGCATTCCTAGAATGCAAGCGCTTTCGCTCATCCCTTCATCTATGATATATAATGTGGTACTCTTCTGTACCAAAATAACATATTTGGTCAAGGTAGAAAAACATTTGAACTTTTGTAAGACTGCTTACATCCGACCCCTCTTACCCCACTAAGGTTTTACGTAGGTTTCACCTGTTTTACCCTATTATTTAGATGGGCTGAGTGTTATTAAAGATATAGGCTAAATATTTTTGAATGTTTTAAACAAAAAAAAAGGATGTCGGCCTTATCCGCATAAGGTGACCCAGGCACGTGACTTTGTTCGCTTCAGCGCCTCATGCGGTTCTGTGCTTAAGTTACGCCTAACTCATGTACACGCGCCTCCCCTTCTCCCAAGCACTGGATGCCATGCTTGCTGCGCCTGGTGCAGCTTAAGCGATGAGGCACACACTTTTGACAACCTTGTTTATGCCCAACTAAATAACTATTTTTTGATGCACCAACTGAAACTACTTCCATAGAAAGAATGTAAAAAAAACTGTTACATGCAAAAAATACCAACAAATAGAAAAATATCAGGAAAAGCAAACTGGCACCTGGGGAGTATTGTACTCAATGAAGCAGTATCCCAGGGTCTTCTGAGTATCAGGATCGACGGGCATCCAAAGACCATCATCCTTAACGACCCCAATTTGACTGTATAACTTCCGTATGACACCTTCGAGCTTTTCAAACTTCTCTTTGGGAACAACTGGCAAATTGTCAACAACTATCACGTTCCCAAACCCTTTCTCGAACTCCAATGCATCCCCCTCCATTAAGTCACCATCATCACTACCATGCCATTAAAAAACATTGACAAAAGTCAGATAAAAGCCGAAGAACTAAATCCGTTTAAAATTGAGTATAATGTGTGTTCTCGGCTACCTTACGATCCCCATGTCCTCACCAGGAGGAAGACGGATCGAATCCAGGTCAATTTGGGAGAGATCGATATTGAGCCGCGAAGCCGTGGCTCGAATCTCCTCCATCGACATCACTTCAGCCATGGTTACGCTTTTGCTACCGTTTCGCTCTCGCTCTGTATACGACTCTGTGATAGGATTGAATGTATGGGTAGACAAATAAAGCCAGCGTGAAGCACAGAGCAGCAGCAGGGGACAGGAGAAAGAACGAACTTGCGATGCAGATTGAACAAGTTTAGTTTCCTAGGGTTTATTGTTATTCGGCTCTTCCAGGGTTTAAAATGCGGATGCATGTAAAAAACGCCGTATAATAACTTACAAAATACAAATTGAGTATCCAAAAAAATGTAACGGCTCATTTGTATTATATTGATTCTTTTTGGGTGTTATACTCAAGTTTAACATAAAACTGATTTGTATTGCGATTAACATAAACCTTTTGTTTTTCAAAGGCCTGCGATTAACATAACCTAATGTGTCTTTCGTGGTGTATCCTTTCTCTTTTGCACTTTTGGACTGACAAATGCTTCAACTAAAATTTATTTGTTAGGTCTGGGTGGCCTGAACTGGTAGCTAGATATTTATGTCGTCATTTATTATATCTGCAACTTTTCGCTTCCTTCTGCTTGAGGTTCATTCGTTCCCCGTCATCAACATTCTCTCATAGTTAGAGCCCAACGCATGTAGCAAGTGCTCTTCCTCTGGAAAACTTATCGTTCGGTCTGCCAATCCCTTGCATGCACAGGTAATGTGTTTTTTTCCTCTGTGTTGTTTTACTGAACGGGCAACACACTGTAACGGAGACGGTAGTTCGTTTTTTGTTCATTCTGGTTTTTTGGGCCCCGGTTCTTATTGTGCAATTGATAGTTTGTTTAGTCACTGACTGCTCTGTTTTTACTTGGATTATTATTGATAATGTGATGGATTTGTTGGTCGAGTATAATGTAGAGACACTCCTTGATAGTGCAGGCGAGGACACATTCATGTATTTCTTACACACAACTCATGGCCGGAAGATAGAGGCTGCTCTGGTGACTCGCACCCGCACTGACCGCTACAATTGTTATACAGGGTCAGTGTATCACCAGTTCTTGAGAGCTTCGGGTTATCACACTGCCTTCCCCGTGGAGTTCAGAAGTGCCACTGAATTGGAGCACAAACTTTGAGATATCTTGCAGCATCAAACATGTTCACTACATTTATCAACGGTTTTTTACGTGTGCATGTGTACTTGTTTTCATTTTCCGTGTGTACATATTTTAAAAATGAAAGTTTATGGGTAAAATGATTGTAAAAGACTATTTGTGTTTCCATAAGTGATGAGAGACACTTGCAGATGAATATTCTACAAAATAACTTCTAAAGTATTTGTATATTTTTTGGTTGGTTCAACATTGCACATAATCCACCCGTTGCATATGTGCTTTTCACATTTTAAAAGTATTTTCACATTCACAGGATATCCCCGTGCTCCTACTTTCCATATCTTTGGTGTGCTGCAGTACACTATTGTGTGGTTTCTTGTGCCATTTGTTCATCTAGACGCAATTGTGAGAACTACCATCTTCTTGCACATAATGTCAAAACTATTTGTGACTGACTTTGCACTCATATCATCTTATTTGTTTTCCATTTAGAAACCCCCTGATTGCATGTTTAGGCACCTTTACTAGCACATTGTGATGCATGCTCAGCTTGTGTGCGGCTCTAGAACGTGGGATGTAGCAATTGAGGACTTCTCTTTTTGTGAAGGTTTTGACCATTTCATATTTGACAACGGCATCCACCTCGGTGGTTATGAAGTGTTCCAGCATGTTAGGAATTTTGTGTTTGAAGCGTTTGGGTTTGACAAAGATGACGGTTCTTTTAGGTTGTACGTGCCATGAGCCCCCCCATTGAGTCATCTGACACTTCAATTACTGCTGATAAGCATTGTTGTCGCTTTGTAACAATTGTTCCAAATATATGTACCTTTTATCCTGTTCTCTTTATTTCTATTTCTTTCCAGGCCATGAATTGATTCAGACATTGATGCACATACTCAAAACGTGTATTATCAACAAGTGACGTTTGTCATTAGGTTTTGCACATAACTTCACTATTTCTGTGCGTTCATCTGTACCCAACTACCCATATGTTAAAATGGTTTAGTTTATACTCATATTGATTCAAATGCGTAATGCAGCATGACTGTGACCAGAGACAAATCTAGAATTTCGAGCCAAGGGGGGCAAAAAATCGTTAGTGTAGCGGATGAAAAAAATTGCCAATGTAGCGGGGTGAATTTTTTTTGCTAGTATAGCGGGCAAATTCTTTTTTCGCTTGTGTAGCGCATCAATTTTTTTTGTTAGTGTCGGACTTTGTGACTAATTTTCATTCAAAAAAAATTTTTTGTGCATACACGAATACATTTAAATCTATAACATTCTAAGTTTAGAGTTTAGACAATGAAAAAATAACTTTGATTTTATAAGTGTAAGTGCTCTAGAAAAATGTATTAATACATTAAAGCATAAAAAATGGCAAATGAAATGAAAATTGTTTGAAAATAAAAAGGATATATAACATGTTATCAAATTATTTGAAGGTAAGGAGATTAAAAGGTACACATCAGCCAATTGCAATTTCTGTCTCTCAAGGAGGGTGTTCATGGGTCACGAAGAGTTTATTTAATATTACAATAGTATGGTTATTATATAATACGTAGTATTGTTAATTTATATATATGGTGCATATTATATTTGTATTAATGCTAAAATAAGTTAAAGTTTATTATTTATGCAAGAAATTGTTTTTAGAAAGTAAGAAGTAAATGAATTGTGTAATTTAATGTCAATAAACATTTATATTTTGGATTCACTTCACATGATCTCAAAACTGTTTAACTAGTGTGTCTAGTATTTAATATCGTTTGCTATTTTACAAAATCGAATACTAACTATCTAATAATGATAATTAAACATTACAAAACTAGGAATTTTATATAATAGGTATCCTAAGTCTTAAACAATGAGCTGTTCTATTGTTTATTTGTTAAGGTTATGTAAATTATTTTAGATGTTATTTCTTTCAAATCTCCAATTAAGTATTACATTATGTAAGACTATATATTAATTTTGAAAACTAAAAGTTAAGGTGGGCGAAAACATATATATCTAATTAAAGTATGAAAATATCTTATAAAATCTTATAAACACCAATGATGGTTAGGGCGTTTAAGGTATGAAAAAATGTTGGTGTAAAACTAAAGCAACATGTACTTGTACAATTTGTGATACTCATTGTACATTCATTTTTTAATGGTTACCTCCGTTAACATCTAACCATTTGCTTTTATTTCTCCGTTAACATCTAACCATTTGCCATTAACCAACGTTTAATACACCTTTATGATGAATAGTGTGTGTTTGGACCTTTCACCTTTGTATTCCACCGTTACTTTTAATATCTAATGGGCTCCATTAATAAAATGGCATGTCATGTAATCATTATTATTTTTTAAGATATATGTAACTACTCATTTAAAAAAAAAGATATACGCAACTACTCATAGTATTACAACATTATCACAAGAACTTTGAATTTGAGTATAATTCGTTGGTCCCGATTATCAAGGTAAACAATCTAGAGGGGGGGTGAATAGACTGTTACAGTTTTTAACTTTTTCAAGCTAAGTACCAAGGCTAACAAAATAGCCTGTTCTGTTAGAGAACAAACTGGCAACGGATGGTCTTCTGGTAGGGGTTCTGTCGGGATAGCCTCACAGAGGTGCAAAGGCACTTGGCCTTCTGTTAACTCACATGGGGTGTTCTGCTGAACACAGATACCACGTCTCATTGGAGTTAAGCAGTTTCAAGGTAAATGTAAGTAATAAAAGCAGTAAGTAAATGACACCAGGAGTTTTTATAGTGGTTCAAGGAACAACGTGTTCCTCTAATCCATTGTTCCACTAAGCTCGTAAGAAATCAATTACAACGCTTAAGTCCTAGCACTTAAGAAGCTCTCCACATCTTCTTCAAGTGTAGATGTCTCCTGGGATGCACTTCCTTGCTTCCTTTAAGACTGATCTTGTTTCACTGAGTCTCCTTGAAGTATTACCACTTCACTTACTTTAGTTACTTTAAGACGCCCTTCTTCGGGAAGAAGATGTTTATGAAAATAGAGTTTTCTCCAACTTGCTTCGTCACAAAAGGTGTGTAGATGAAGTGTTTGAAGTGTTGAAGAACTGGATGAACTTTGCTCTTTGTTGGAATATGAAGATGTGAAGAAAAATAATCTTTCCGACGATGAGCTTTTCTTGTAGAGAAAGATGATGTTCAGATCTCAAGAAAGCTTTTTGAACGTTGTTGTTAGAGCCAAAGTTATCCCGGTAGTTCTTCACGTAGTATCATATATACTACAGTTGTCTTCCCGTTGGAGGAAGTTGACAACTGCATCAAATGCGTGTACTGTCGAGTTGACCGGTTGGACCCGCCAAGTTGGTGACTTGCTATTTTGGGATATGATTCCCCTGGAATCTCGGTCAATCGTCGGCTTTTACTTCTCAGCGTATGGAGCTCATTAAACGACATTAAATGCACTGTCCTGTAGCTTTTCCGTTGAGGAGCTCCTAGCCGTTAGGGAATATCCCGTTAAAATAACCGGCTAACCATGCTTGAGAATGACTAAGTGTGAGGGCTTCTGTTGTTGTATACAGAGGGACAATCTAAGGGGACCTCGAGCACTTTTGTTCAATAAACGTTCACTAGAGGGCCTGAAGGTCTTCTGTCAGTCGATTACTCTAGAGTGCTTTCACTTAGAAAAATTCTAACACATCAATTCTAATGGGGGTACTCTAAGGTTCTAATGAGTCTAGCATCATCAAAATCTTAATACATTTATTCCTTACATAATTGAATAACCTCAAACAAAATAATATGTCTACCTAATTGATTATAAATATTTTTATTGTTGTTAGATAGTTCTATTAAAGAATTTTAGGGTTTAAAATATAATGAGTAAAAACAAGTAATTATGGCGGATTAGAGTTCGACCGGCGATAGAAGATCAATCACAGCGGTACTGATAGTCTGGCCGACTCTTGAACTACCGCTATGGGTTGGACGAGATGCTGGGGTTCGAGAAATTTATCCTATTAATTATTTTTATTTTGTTGTTTCATTTCTTGTTAAAGTCTTTGTTGCTAGCAAAAATTAGTTACTAAACTTTAGTCCCGTAACTTATGACCTTTTTCATTATTAGTCCTGTAACTTTAGTCACTAGCAAAATTGGTCCTGTAACTAATTAATATTTGCGAATTAAGGACTTTTTAC